TCTCCCGCCTATGCCAGTGAGATTGTGCCTCTCTCCCTGAGAGGTGCCTGCACGGCTACTCTGCAAATGAGTTGGTCCATTGGCTCAATCATTGTCGCCGGCGCAACCTACGCCTACAATAAGCGCAATGATGAGTGGGCTTGGCGTGTGCCTCTTGCCTTGCAGTGGATCTTTCCTGTTAGTCCTCTACTTGGAGATCTCATGTTTACGGGCGCTGACTTCTTCTAGACCCCTCTCTTGGTCCTCCTCTTCTTCGCTCCCGAGTCGCCTTGGTGGCTGATTCGCCGTGGACGCAGGGAAGAGGCCCTTCATTCTATCAAGCGTCTTGGCAGTGAATCTCACGAGCAAGCTGAACAAAAACTCGCCATGATAGAGCGAACCGTTCAGATCGAAGCTCAAATGGGTGGCTCCCCATCTCTGCTCGACCTTCTCAAGGGAACTGATTTAAGACGAACTCTCATCACCTGCTTGATCTATATGTCGCAGAATTTCGCCGGTAACTTGATTGCCAACCAGGCAACTTACTTCTTCGAGCGTGAGTGACTTCTTCCTTCTCTCTGACCAATTTTCAATCGGCAATGGATGACTCACCCCACAGTTAGAGGCCGGCATGGGACCTGACCGTTCATTTCAACTCAACCTGATCAACTCGTGTCTTCAATTGGTTGCCAACATCATCTCTTTGCCTCTAGCCTCCTCATTTGGTCGCCGAACCATCTATCTCTGGGGCACAGCCGCCAATATCACTCTACTCATGCTCCTCGGCATCTGCGCCTCTCTCCACCAGAACGACGCGACCAACTACGCCCAGGCAATTTTGGGAATCATCATCTCCTTTGTGTTTGCCGGTACTCTCGGACCCATCTCATACACCATCATTGCCGAGACCTCGTCCGTCCGTCTTCGCGCTTTGAGCACCGGTGTCGGTCGTGCCGCATACTACGTCGCCGAGATCCCCATGATCTACCTTTCCTCGCGGATGCTCAACCCCAGTGGATGGAATCTCGCTGGAAAGTGTGGTTACGTGTGGGGAGGCACTGCCTGTGTCTGCTTCGTGTCAGCGTACTTCTTCCTTCCTGAGTTGAAGGGCCGCTCCTACCGTGAAAGTGACATCTTGTTCAATCGCAAAATTTCGGCTCGGAAGTTCAAGTCGACCGTTATTGACGTTCGGGATAGCGAGTAAGGAATGGTGAAATGATGGAACGCGATGTGCTTTGGTGAGCTTTTGTAGCGTGATAAACTAGAAGACGTTTTTTTTTTAGAGATTATTGAGTTCTCGCGTACACGTTGCAAGCTTTCCACTGTGTACATTTGTACAGGGGATATTGGCAATTCTACCTTGGGAAGATTTTGTTACAATTCGAAGTACAAATATGTATCTAATGATAACCGATGAAATAGGAAGCAACCTTGACACTCATTGCGAATTCGAAGCCTCGCATTCACTCTGGAGCCATATTTATGACATTTCTGCGATAAAGGCGAGCTAGTGTGTATTTCTGAAGATTAGCAGTGATGCGCATCTTATGAGCTGGATTCTTGTTCAATTTGGCGGGTACGTAGAAGGCGAGGGAGAAAAGTACACGTAGTGACGGCTATGTATTTGACCTGGAGGGTAATCTTCGATGGTAAATTAGAGTGGGTTCTATTGCGTATTGGTCAAAGAGTTGTTGTCTATCAGCAAATATACTTGAATGGCGACATTTATATAGTCACAACGATGTCAGTAGATCTGGGGGACAATCTAGAGGGACATAGCGCAGGGTTACACAAAGATGGAGCTAGCGTGCTGTTCTATATGAAGGCAGCTCACTAGATGCTTCAGCATTCCGTAGGAAGAAATACGAGATCTGAGAATGACAGCGGAAAGAGGGAAAATCAAAGAATTGGTAGAAGTTAAAAACGTAGGGAGAAATAGTACAAGCAAAAAAAGAGCCACCCTCGTAGTTCAAACACCGCCGCTATCAACTTACATTAAAGAGTTTCAAAAAAAAATCATAGATCCTAGATCCATAAAACAATTGCGCGAAACCTCCACCCGCAGATAGGAAAATTTCTGTTTTCTGATCTTCCACCGTTTCATAGATTGCGTCACTAGGTAGGCAAGTAGAAGATCTGATCATATTAGGTTATACAGTCTGATCACGCCGAACTCTTCGTCTCTGGTTCGACAACACCAACCCCATTGGGAGTCTCCTCGGATTGAGCGGTGGGAGTTGATGTTGAGCTCTCCTTGGAGGGCTCGCCCGACAGCTTGGCCTCGGCGGCGGCCAATTTGGCAGTAGTGGTGTCCAAGCTCGTCTTCAAAGCTTTGATGTAATCAATGGCCATCTCCACGGCGGTGGCTTTGCTAATGGCCTGGTTGGCCTTTTCTTTCTCTTTTTCCTTCTCGTTAATCTTGCCACCGGATTCTGCAGCTTCCTTGGCGTTACGGGCATCAATAAACTCCTGTGGAATAAGAAGCTCAATCTCCTTGAGCGCATTGTTAATTCGGTTCCGGCGTCCCTGCTCTGCGAGCTTGTGGTTCGTGCGCTTGGAGCTAAGGTTCTCTGCCAGAGCCTCCGGGTAGCTCACACCCGATGGCAGAGTGCCGTCGAGAATGTGTTGGTAATTGGACTTTGATGCGAGGTATAGCGCATCTTGTGACATGCCTAGGATATAGTTAGTATAGTAGCCATGGAATTCAATTCGGATGAAGACTCACCCTCGCTGCCTTTCATAAGCGGCTGGATACTGGGACTAATCTTGGGCCGCAATTGCGGGCTGGCCTGAGTGGAACTCAGACTGGGTCGTTTCCGGTAAGAAGTAGTCCTAGAATCTTTTCGAGGGACCGGCCCACTGTGAGATGGCATTGCAGTTGTATGGGGACTGGGAGCAAGAGATGCGCCGTGAGGTTTATCGTACGTCGCAGGCAAAGGATCCAAGAAAGAGGTTCCAATTGCGGAGATCGACCGAGTCCGTGCAGAGGTATCGATGCGGTTGGGCTTCGGACGCAGCTGCGAAGGAGCGGCCGCCTCTGGAAGTGAGATGTCCTCCATAATATCATCTGGGAGCTCAGCTGGGGGGTCAGCGAGCTGCGCTTGACCGCGGAACTGACCTGCGGGGTCTTGCGAATGCTGATTCCGCTGAATGCGCATCAAAAGCGCAGGGGTGGCGGCAGTGCCGGGCGAAGCCGATTTAACATGGGGAGCAATCGCAGGAGACATCCGAGGGGGGGGAAGAGCGGGAGGGGGCATCATCGGTTCTGATAATGGCTCGGGGGATACCGAGTCCTGGCCAGAACCCTCATTGCTGCTGATCTGGAGTGAACGGATGTCCTGATTTTGCGGCCTTGTGGAGTTCATCTCCTGGGTGAGGCTATTGTAGAACTCTTCCGAGTTGGCAGCCAAAGTGCTGCGTTTGCGCTGCGCCCGAATAATGGGTGATTGCTTGACCTTCCGTGTGTTATTGAGCCGGGTAGCGGTCGTGGATGGCCGGTGACGAGTGTTGGTTTTCCGTATAATACTAGGAGAAGGTGGATTCGAGGTTCCAGGGAGGGAATTGACTTCCGCAGTAGTGGGAACGAAGCCCATGTCCGATACCTGTCGTGCGTGATACTGGTAACTGCTGGATTCGGCATTTTGGGCCTCTAGGGCGGGAGAAGTGAGAGGTGTGAAGTATTCGCCGGGAATGGTGTATTCTGGAAGTCGGAATTGGTTCTCTAACGGCGTCATAGCCGGTGAGATAAGAGGAGTGTAAAGGGCCTTGGTCGTTAGCCAACAGATTTATCTGGGATTTGTGTCTGGACCAACCTGTTCCTCGTTGATGCGGGAATATCCGTCATACATTTCCGAGGTTTCATCCAAGCGCTGAGGGTATCGGGTAGTGTTGCCATGCATCTCGATACTGTTCGGGGTGGGAGGGATCATGTTGTGGCCCTGCATGTAGTGTTGGTGGGTAGGCGGTTGCGACATGGGTGATGGTTGCTGCGCGCAAAAGCCCGGTGTCATCTGAGGAGTCGAGTAAGGCATTGGGGGGCCGTGGTGCGCGTGCGATTGGGTGTTATCATTGAAATCCATGAGGCCCTCCATCTGGCCCGAGTATTGCACAGCGTGCGATCGTAGGTGAGCCATATCCGAGTCTGGGCCGGTGGTGGTCGGTAAAGAATGGGAATGTTGCATATTCCCTGGTCCGTGCTCGATTTCGGGAAAAGGCATGTTGAACTCGAACAAGTTGGAGAATTCTTCCTCACCAGGCGCACTGATGAGATGATTCTCATGGAGCTGCTCCGGCCACGACATGGCTGGTTGTTCCATCGTACTAGAAGAGAGATATCCAGTTAGGCCAGTTAGGCCAAGAAAGAAGGTATTGAAGTCGAAACATTCACAAGAGAAGATCGGAGAAAAAAAAGAATCCGAGGAAAATCAAAGAGAGAGAGATGAAGTGGAGAATCAACTCAGGGCGGAGACGGTACTCCGTGGTCGGCAATGAGACCTTGCCACTACAGTGGTTGTATCTTCAGACGGGGCGTTAAACTCTGCTTTTCTTTGCGCCCTTTTAAGTCTTCTTTCTGCGCTAGATGCGCGTGTGCTAATAGATGCAGAAAGAACCCTGTTGAAAAAAAAAAGTACTAGCTTACTACAAATGTACAGAGGTACGAGGTACGGAGTACTCCGTGTAAGTATTCCGGAAGTCCAATTTCCTTTTTAAACCCACAGTGGACAGTGGAGATAGTATGGACAACCTTCCAGAGACGTCTCTTGGTCTTGAATTGTATATCAAAGTCCACTACAAAATCAGAATCCATTCTTGACATCGTACTATATCAATTAAATAAGCAACTCCCAAGGTTTCTCAGGATTCTTCCCAGCAGATGCAGGAATGCCTCGGGCAGAAATCAAGAGGGGTTTATCACCTCGTGATGGCTTACCTGATGACATGATCACTGTTACACTCCCGAGGAGCTTGACCTTTATGAACTTCCCAGCTTGTTAAGTATCTTTCCTATGGTTGCCTTCATAATGAGACCTATTCCGGACCTCCCATTCTCTCGCAAATCCTCAGATCATCCCTCATCTTTATCCCTCGATCGCACTGCCACCCCTGCGACCTTCTTCTTATCGCGCAGTCCACATGTCGCGGATCATGATTCCAATGTATCGTTAGATAGCCCCGAGGATGTCAAAGAGAATGTGTATGGAGTACAAAGCCTAGATGCCTCTCTGTCCCTATCAGAATTCAAATCCTTGCCCCGCGATCACTCCGCAGACGGCCTGAAGCAGGAGACCGACGATTTAGAATCGCACCTCGCACAACGCCGGTCAAAATTGAAGCCACTAAATTCAGGCACCGTGGAATCCTCTGATTGTGCATCTCCCATTCATACAGTGTCTCGGCCCTTAACCCCGCTTACGTTGGGCATCCCTGATGACTCATGCTCGCTGCCTGGCAGTCCCAAATCTATATCCAACCAGTCCTTTCGGCCACTCGATGATATGTCTATCACGGATGAAATTAACAGTCTAGCTGTCGGATCTGGAGATGAGGACGAAATGCCCCATGGGTCTCCATTTTTGGCCCCAGGTGGGGCCTCCCAGCTTATCATGCCAAGCATCAAAATGCCTAGTCGGCGACCGTTCACCGAGCGAGGAAAAGCGATGGGTCGATTCAAGGTTCTTTTGGCTGGCTCTCCTGGTAGGTTTCGACCGTTTCAGAGCAAATTACACAAGCAGCTAACAGTTTCGAAATCCAGGTTCTGGTAAGACCTCGTTGATCAAGTCTATCGTTCAGACATGCGACGATATTGTACATGTCGATACCATCCCACAGGGGACATCTTCGGGACGTCGCAGACCTTCCCGGCCCCGGTCTCGGGGGGCATTGACTACCACTACGGAAATTTATGCGAGCACAAAACCTTATCCTCCATGGTGGTCGGATCTGGAAGATTCACGCGTGCTCCAGCGGCGAAGAAGCATCGGGGAAATCGTGTTAGAGAGGAACCTCTGTTTTGTGGACACACCCGCAACGAACTTAAGCCCGGCAGGCCAAGGCGACGCCATTGGGCAGTATATGAGACAACAATTCTTCCGTGCGACCAATGCGCTCAGTGGGTCTAGCGTTGATTTCCAAAACCTACTAGCCGGGAATGGTGGATCCCAGGTGGATGCCATCTTATATTTGATTTCCTATCGTAGGCTTTCCCTGGTCCCTCTCCGAGGAAAACTGACAAAAAATGTACCCCCAGTTGCTAACCTTCTACGTATAGATACCCTCTCAACAGACGTGGAATGCATCCGCAAACTCTGTGAGCTAAGCAATGTAATCCCAATAGTACCCAAATCAGACACCCTTACACCAACTCAAATCACCAACTTGAAACTCCGCTTCCACGAACAAGCTCGCGAGGCCGGAATCAAACCATTCCTATTCGGTGATTCGCCGAATGGCCTAGACAGGCTCGGATCTCTACCCCCATATGCGGTCTCCTCCGCGAAAGCAATCGACACGGAAACAATGGATGCAAGCACCCTAATGAGTCCAGACTACGTTCAACCTCTCGTGTCCTCCGAACTAGACGCCTTAGTCGACAAAATATTCGATCGTGACAATCTAGCCTGGATGCGCCATTCCGCGGCAAAGAAACTCCTCCGGCACTGTAGAGACTCATATCCGATCCCGCCCTCAATGCCGTTACCCAACGCGCAGCCGGGTCCTGCCACAAGTGGGTCCGCATATGCATCTAGCAACTGGCGTTCCGTCTCGGGAACATCCATCTCGTCCGGCTCCCCGCCGGGCTATGCCATGGCCCGCATCGCAGACTACACCCGACATGAGGAGCATATGGCGCAGGTCCGCCTTGCCCAGTGGGCGACAGACCTACAGCGCAGCTTGCGAAACGAGCGCGATCGATACAACTCGCTGGCTCGCGGGGAGCGCGCCGTATGGCTCACCGAGCGGTTGGGCGAGTGTGTTGTCGATGGGTCGTTGGTACCTATCTCGCAGACCACAGGCTTCTGTGGGTTACATGGCCCCATTGGCGAGAAGAGTCCTGGGAAGTTTCAGGCCATGCACTCGCATACCGGTTCCGGTGCATATCGCTTCGCGACTTTCAGTCCGCGTGACCCGCTTGGCGTGATTAGCTGGATCGACGACCTCGGACACCGGAGCTGGATGCTTGTGCAGATTGTTGGGACTGTAGGGGTTGTCGGTGGGTTGGCGCTCTGGCTTGCGCGCAACTGGGGCTTACCGACGCACAGTCTCTCGGATTTGCGGGTTGATTACTGGTGTGGTACTATTGAACGGTAGGTCGATGAAAGGACTCCGGTATGATAATGAGAATATGAACATGTGATGTGGGTTTTGTGGGGTTCTGGATTTCTATGTTGTAGTTGTCTGGGGGGTTCCTACCGGATGGGTTTATTTGCTCGTGTGTCGTTGATTCTTTGGAAATCATCTCTCTCGTCTTTGACGTCTTATGGTGTCTTACGACTCTGAGACAATTCCCTGCCACGTAGCATAGTTGGACAGGGATAACTTTGCATGAAAATAGTAAACTTGATTTTTTCTATGTGATTGATCCTGCTTTCTCTGTCCAGTTCTTTGATCCCCCCGACTCAATATCAGCTTTAGTTTTCTTCTAGCCAGTATACTACGAGCTAGCCAACCGTTAACGTTGGAATTTGGACGGGGTATATCTAGGAATGTCCCACACCTAGTTTCTCACAGAGAACTTAAAGACTTTGATTTGGTTTTCAAATAACCTCGGACATTAGCCTTTGGGCCGGAAGAATAATATTTAGCCGCTAATGCAGCCAGGACGTAAGGCTTTGGGCCGATCTGTTTGGCCCAAAGTGATATCATGGACATAAAAGAAAATCAACCACACCACTATGCTTAATGTTGTAGAGGTCTTATGTTATTTGAATGTAGTAAGAAGCATCAACTATGTAGAGGACTTTTCTAATTACAACCTGGGACAATAGTGGTCGGCCGCGTTTGCGGTCTTGTGATGTCTTTTTTAGTTTTTTTTTATTTTCATATCTCTTTTTAGTTGCCGTCTTACACACATACGACAGAAAAAGAAAGAGGCTTAACTTATGCAGTGCAATGTACAATCTTTGACCAGTGTTGTTCCACAGGCGTCTGTATAACTCTCTTTATTGTTGTCTCATCCACTGTTTTCTCCCTTATAAATCCAAATGCGACCTAAATATTCATCCAATTGGTAAGATGGCCGAGTTGGTCTAAGGCGCACGGTTCAGGTCCACCTGATCCCGATGGTACATAACTGTCTCCGTGTCTCGAAAGGGGCGTGGGTTCAAATCCCACTCTTATCATTCTTTTTGTCTTTTTTTGGTTTTTTGTTGCCAGACTTCTCTTACCAAAGTTACAATGGGATTAGTGGAGGTTCAAGGACGGTAGCTGGTATATCTTGGTAAGAGTGAAGCAAGTGGTCGGATTAGCGTAATAGACCTCTGCCTGTGTCAATGGAACAAGCAATTGGCCTGCTGAATTTCGAGACTTGTGTTGCTAGCATCTTTTTGTGGGCAGTGCTAAGAAAATCACGTATATAGAGAACATCGCTTGTTCTACCATTGCATGATATAAACGCTCTAGACGGAAGAACGAAATCACGATCAAGCCTCAGCCTCGGTCAGTCGGTGAGTAGATGCACTATTCTACTGAAGAGAAGAACCGGAAGAGAGGCATGTGGATGGTAAGGTTGAATATATATCAAATGTATCAAAACTAGACTTGGATCTAATCCCGCGGAGCAAGTAACAAAATCAAACTCCAGGTCTTTTGCTTTTAACGTGGAAGCGCAGAGAGACCAGCAAAAGGGTATAGGCATATGGAGCATGCAAGGAATTGATCGATCCTTGCCATGAAATATTACCTCGGGCCAGGATCATGACCATCACGAGCCAAAGAAATCCTTAGGTCTACCAAAGAGATTGGAAATCAAGGATAAGGTACAATTGTATTACAGTCAACTACACCCTTAGAAGAACAAAGGAGATATCGGCAAGGAATCTAGGCACAAGTGGTCACATCAAATCCAAAATGAAGGGAATGAACTTTTCCCTCTCTACGGTGTAATGTATACAGGGATTTTAAACGGTCAAACCGAGGTCCTCGGCGAAAGGAAGCTGGTGGATGTCACCCACGCTAACGAGGGTGGCCTTGCCAGTCAGGAAAGTGTTGGCGACCTATGGGTATCTGTTAGCATCATGACATCAGCGACGAGGAGAGAGAAAGAACAAACCTCCTTGACCTGCTGCTCGGTGACCTTCTCGAGAGCCTGAGCAATCTCGTTGATCTGGTAGGGCTTGTTGCCGTGGACGAGGCCGGAGCCGGTAGCCTCAAGACCGGTCTCGAGGGTCTGGACAGACTCCAGAGCGCGGAACTTGGCGAGAGCAATGGCCTTCTGGATGTCCTCAGAGGCGACCTCACCGGCGGCGGCCTTCTTGAGGGCATCGACAACGTTCTTGCTGGCGGCACCGACCTGGTCGGCCTGGCCGGACAGGGTAACGGTGAAAAGACCAGCATCGGAGTAGGCGTTGTTCTGAGTAGAAACGCGGAGCTGGCTGAAGCCCTTGGTAGCCTGGGACAGAAGGGAGAAGCCGGGGGTCCACTTGATAGTGGACTCGCCTCCCAGAAGAGCAGCGAGAACGGAAGCCTCGGCCTTGTAGCCCGCGGTGCCGAAAGCGCTGGAACCGGGGAAGGCGATCACAACAGCGTTGCCGATCTTGGAGGCAATGCGCTGCTCACCACCGTAGTACTTGGAGGCGACGGAGGGCAGAACGTTGTATTTGCTGTTGGCGTTGCCGGTGGGTGTGTCCTTGAAGAACTGGCCAACCCACTTGGTGACCTCAGCGGAGTTGGGGCCGCTAGCAACAAGAGCGATGTTGGACTTGGAGTAGGCGCTCTGAGCAAACTCAGCCAGGGCATCGCCGGAGACGTACTTCTCGTAAGGGGAAGACTGGGAGGGGGTGATGGAGGCGCCCAGGCCGCGGTGGAAAGCAACACCGTGGGCGGCATCAATAGCAACGGTCTCCGGGTTGGAGTGAACGGCCTGCTGCTTGTACTTGAGGAGCTTGCTGACAACCTCGTTCAACTCGTGGTCTGATATTATCAAGGGGGCTTGAGTCAGCAAAGGATGCTCATGTAATTGCGCTTCACCAATCACCATACATCAAAAGGGACCGACTCACCTGCGAACTTGGTCTGGGTAGCAACCTCGGCAAGCAACTCTGTGAAGTAGGGAAGATCCTTGGAGAGGAACTTGGTCCGGAGGACAATGTTTTCGCGCGAGTGTGTCGACGAGATTTCACCGCCCAGCAGCTCAGTCTCCCGGGTGATCCGCAGTGCAGACCGCTTGAGGGTAGTCTGTCGAGAAATAGATTGATCAATATCACCAAATATACCTGAGATGAACCAATTGATGCCAAAGGACCAACCTTGAAAGCGAAACGGTCGAGAGCATCAGAGAAACCAGGGAAGGGCTGGTAACGGGAACCAGCCTTCGCAACCAGAGCGAGGGTACCAGTAGGGCCCTCAACTTCACGGTTGGCGACCTTCACGCCGGAAGCTTCGGAGACATCATATTGGAAGCCCGGGTTAGCAGCGGAGGCCATGGACCGACGGCCGGCGGCGAACGCACGCGGCGCATTTCGGCTGAGGGAAGACCGCGACAGCATCGTCGCCTGTGCCGAAAAGATGTGAGAGAAGAAGAAGAGTTATAAACCCGAATTGGGTTTGTAGAGAGGCGCAAATGAGGCGGGGAAGGAGGTGGGATGCGGAGAGAGCAAGAGGGAAGAGGCGGTTTGGGAGGTCACGAAAAGCTTCAAGATCCCGACTCGTCACTCCAGCCAATCAGCGGTCAAGTAATCAAAAGCGCGGACGGAACCGGAGTTACTTTTGTTGCGATTATATAGAGGCTGTTTTTGCCTTTGGATGATTGTTATAGTCTTTTTGAACACTTTAGAATAGTCAAAAATGCTCTATTCAAATTGGGTCTTGAATATCTCTGTTGTTCCCATTCTCTCTGCCTAAACACGTTTCCTCCAAATGAGGCATTCCTAATCACCTGATTGGCTCTGTCACGTGAATATACCGATAAGCAAAAAAAAGAACAAAAGAACGGAGGACCTGCATCTCATCGCGCATTGGATTTTTGGACTTGCAGATCTCTGCTAGCTTGGAAATCTTCATGAACACTCGGTGACCTTCAAGTGTTCCCTTTCGAGGTTTGGTGGTGAACCGTTTTTCATATCTTTAGCCCACCATGATGTCCCAGGTCTGCGACTGTCCCGCTAACCTCGAGAGAGCTCTACTTACTGACATCGACTTAGTGCTGTGCCGAGCTCTGTATGCTCTTGATCGAAGACAATTTTGGAGAGCTCTTTGCTGTGAGTCATCTTGTGCAGAATCTCGGGCTGTTATGATTCATTGCGACAGCAGGGAAGGAACCGGACTAACCAGTCAACTTTTCGCAGCGCATCTTCACCGTCCTTCAACGTTACGAAAGACTGACTCTCCCTCGTTTAAAATTCTATGCTCGTTTGTCAGATCGCCAATTGCACCATGGCCTTTGCGCCATGATCCAGCACCACTTGATCTATCACTTCACATCTCTCGATGACGGCAACACCTACTACGAAGCTAATCCACAAGCCGCATACTCCCTCGTGCGATCGGGAAAGATTCTCCAACTGGTTGAAAGTCGACTAGGGGAATATGCTGCCCAGGTGTTGGAAGCGATCATGATGCTCGGTCACTCTTCGATCGCTCACCTTGAAACGCTTCCCGAACTTCAATCAAAGAGGCAGCGCATTCCGAATGGGATCAGCCACGATGAAATAAAGCCCGAGGAAGAAGGAGAAGACGCAGAGGATTCCGCTGCTACTAACGGCGATCATGCTGTGAGCGAGAAACCGGTGCGCCTTCACCCCACTTTGAAGAGTCTTGCCTCCCATGGGTACATCCATCGCCTTCGAGAGGCACACTTCCAAAGCCCAAACGACAACTGGCTAGATGCTTCCCGAATCATCGGCTCAAGGCCAGATGTCAAATTAATGAAGGGCAAACAGCAAGCGGCGGAGATTGAGGAGAAGGCGAAGGAAATGGTCAAGGAGAGAACTGAAGGAGATTTGAGCCGGGGCCTAATATATAACGGTATCCCTCAAGGCGCCAAAAGAAAATACAATCACGGCAACTCGGAGTCGAATAGGCAGGCGCCGAATGGTACCAACGGTGCCAATGGAGACCATGTAGAGGATGAGGAGGACGAGGAAAATGATTGGTCCGAAGATGAAGATGGCCTTGATTCAATTCCAATGGATGTAAGCTCGTTTGAATTTTTTTTTTTTCCCCCTAGCGGCTTCGAAGCAACCACTAACACTTACTGCAGTCTAACCTTATCGTTCGGGTGAACTATGAGAAACTCGACGTGGCACTTCGAAACACGCGGTTCCTTGAGCTGGCTGAGCAAGACGCACCTCTCGCATCAGTGGAGATTTATGACTGTCTGCTTCGACGCATTGAATATCAAACAGCCCGCTGCCGAGACTCTTATGAGATCCCCCGCGAAGGGGAAGAAGGCGAACAATACTCTGCTCCAATCCAACTGAGCTCGATTGTCGAAGACATTGATCCGCACCTGGATCTTTCGGGATGCATTGGCCCAATGGAGCCCTCAACGGTGTTAAACCGACGCGGCAAGCGACCTTTGGAAGATGATACAAATGGCGTGAATAGTGACGAGCACGAAGACGAACCGAACGGGCAAAACCGCGCCTACGAGATCGACCAGCACCTTAGCATTCTCTCACAACCTCCCTTGAACCTTACCACAAAACATGTCATCTCCGGTCTCCCCACGTGGCGAGTTGCATTCCGAGGCCTATCCCGTAAGCTTCGCCATTTAGAACTGGAGCGTATGATCGAGTCGCGGTATGGAGATGTGGCACTGCGGGTGGTCCGCGTCCTGCATTCCAAGGGCAAGCTAGACGAGAAGCGACTCCAGGAAATCAGTCTCTTACCCTTCAAAGACTTGCGTCAGACGCTTGCTAGCATGCAAACCGGAGGGTTTGTAGACTTACAGGAAGTGCCGCGTGACGCACAGCGTCAGCCTTCCAAGACAATCTACTTGTGGTACTACGATCCGGATCGCGTGTGCAGCAGCATTCTGGAGGATACATACAAAGCCATGTCACGATGCCTGCAACGCATCAAATTCGAACGTAGCCGCGAGAGAGATTTCCTCGAAAAGACCGAACGAACTGATGTTAAAGGTCACGAGGAAGAATTCCTCTCGGAGGCCGAATTAGAACATCTTCGCAACTGGAAGGCCAAAGAAGCCTTGCTGCTGGCGGAGGTATCTCGATTGGATGATATGGTTGCTGTTTTCCGTGATTATTGATTTGCTATACGCACATCATGGAGGCTGGGAAGTAATTGGGGTTGCATAAATCTGTACAGGCGCATGAGCGACGAATTGATACAAGTGAACCTGATATGGTCGTTTTGCGCGTTAGTTCCTTTCGAAACATGTTGGACATGATATATAGTAATTTTCACTCCTTGGGTCTTCTCATCTCATAGATACATAGCCAGCTTACCTTGGCCACGAGGTTTGCCTAGGAGCAAGGATAAACCTGCATCAGCTCGGCCTTGGTATCTCACACAGCCACAATAGGAATGGATTCCTGTCCCGCCTGTGAGAAACAGAGTGTCTTTGTCTCTGTCTTTTTACTACACTCAGTAGGGGGATTCAGGATTAGGGTAGGATGCCCATTCATCATTCTTCCTATCGTTCTTACAAGTGACATCCAATCCCAAAACACCTTCTACCTATTATCAACTGTAGTCTAGACTTTAGAGAACTCCAGTCAAGTTCCACGGTGATCGACCTGGCGTCATACGGCTTTTTCGCATGTTCTTTTTTTTTTTTTTTTTCTCAAACCTATCTATATATATACGAGAGCGCTCACTACTGCTGATTGTAGGCAGTACTTCGGCAGAGTGATTAAAAGATAACCCAATGAAATCGAGATCATTTTCCAACATCCTACGTCAGCCCTATCAATCCCAGTCTGCCAATCTTTATGACGCTAGCGCGACGCCGGTGGCTGCCCAATGCACCTTTTTTATACCTTGCCATACCTTGTGTTTCTTGATGATGCTTTTCTGAAAAATTTTGATTTCCAACTCTCCAACATTCATCCAGTCACCCTTTGAATTTGTTATTCTCCCTACACAAATATCTCCTACCGAACATGGCCTTCCCGTGGCTATACCCCATCCGAGTTGTGCAAGCACTCTTTGGTGTGATCGTGATCGGCTTGACAGGATATGGTCCGTCTCTCGTGAACACGATTTCCAAAACCGTTACACTAATTGGTCTAGTGGTTTCATTCTTCTATGATGGATGGGCATACTCCAATACTGTCAACTTCCTCCTCTTCCTCGGTTGCTGGACTGCCTTTGTTGCAGTGCCCTACCTCGCCATTGCACCATTATGGTTCCCTCGCCTGACACACCACTATGTGATTCCTGCTGTTGAGGTTATCACCATGATCTTCTGGTTTGCCGGGTTTATCGCCATGGGAGCAATGTTGCCTCCGCCGAGGTGGTGTCACGGGAGTGCATGCAGCTCACTCCAGGCAGCAACGGTATTTGGGGCCTTTGAATGGTGAGCGTCCGTGTCTGTTAGTTTACCATCGACGGAGAACTAACTGGGATCTGGGTGGGGTATAGGGTGCTTTTTGCAGTCACCACCTATTTTGGTATTGTTGATGTTATGCATCACCGTCGTGGTGGAGAAAAGGCGGCGCATTCGCATGTGAATATTGGAGTCTAAGGATATTCGTGATGATTACACTGGATGCATCCAAGACTATTGGATTGCATCTTTCTCAATGTTGTGAATATTATTATAGTGTACGATGGTGTTGGGATGCGATACCCGTTGATAGCAACCTCCTGGAGTCCTTTGTTTGAGTCATCTAGCCTATTCTTCTCGGAATCAAAACTCCAAGAGGTCGAAGACGAAACGGATTTAGTGTTATATCTATGACTAGCTACCTCCAAGGTTACATCCGTACATGGGTAAAGGTCGAAAAACGATCTGTGGACATGGAAGACACTCCTTGACGATGCACATCTTCTAGGACTTCATCACAGTTTGGCCAAGTGGTCCAAGACGATTGACTAGAGATCCATCCCGTTCGCGGGCGCCGTCGTTTCATCTCTTTTTGCCCAATCGGGAAAGACGAAGGGTAGCGAGATGGCCTTTTTTCAACACAAAGCTAAGACCAAGCATGATCAACCCATCGTTGATCGTTGATACTTCACTCTCCGGAGAATGATCCTAGCAATCTGAATTGAATGACGAGATGTAAAGTCTACAGGTAACCCAGCTCCTACAACCGGACCATGCTGAAGTCGTTTCATATGCTTGTATGATCTACTGTTATCGCCCCAAGACAGGCATCTCCCAAGTCCGAAAACAAGCACAATGCAGAACCGATATCAATGCTGCTAAAAAAAGGATGCTGATACACAGGCAGGGCAAAGGCATACGAACATGGACACGTATCTCACATAAATCGAAACACAAAATCCGACCCAGCTAGCCAGCAAGGCTAGGACGAAACCTCCCCCTCCCCCCCCCCAAAAAAAGCCTCCGGGATAGAAAAGCCGATGCACACCTTTTAGCGCTTGCCCTTCTTGCGGGGAGCGACAACCTTGAACGCAGAGCTGGCAGCTTCTTCCTCACGTTGAGCAGCAGCCGCAACGGTAACGGCAGAGCCCTTCTTGGCAACCTCGCTCCAGCCACCACCGTTCTTCTGCTCGCCGAAAGCACTGGGCGAAACTGGGTCGACAATGCCCTTATCGGCAAGCTTGCGGCGGCGGATGAATTCCTCTGAGAATCGGCGGCCGTCCAGAGTCTGGGAGTTGGCGTAGACGGAGTCGGAGATGATCTCGGCATCGGCGGGCAGGAAAAGCAATTGCTGAACAAAATCGTCGACTAGAGATAAGATGTTAGTATGGAGACAGTGTGGAGTGGAGAAAGAGGACAAAACTCACCATTGATGCTGCTGTTCAACCCCTTGCTCAGAGCAAGAGTAGCCCACTTGGTGAACTCCTCCACGGCCTGGTTGGGGTTGGACTGCGGGGTGCTGCCGCTGGTCACAGTACGGGTAGTGGTCGCAGGGCGGGGCTTAGCAATCAGAGGCGAGATCGGGACGGTTCCACTGGCTGTGCGGGGTCCGAGGGCCGGCGCAGTTGGCACAACACCCTTGACTTTGCCACTAGCACCGACGGTAGTCCAAGCACTGGAGCCCTGACTCGCGGCGGCGACGGGAGCAGGACCCTTGCTAGCAAGATCAGCATAACGCTTGCCGACAGACGAGGGAATGGGAGGGCTTGGGGTCGCAGCCATGGCGGCGGCGGCGGCAGCAGCAGCCGCACGGTTCTTGCGGGCCTCCTCCTCCTTCTGAATCTGAGCCAGAGTCTTCTTCGCGGCAGTGGCGGTGGGTGCGGGCTGGGTCTTGGTGGCCCAAGGGGAACCGGCCGAGGCAGGAGTCGCCGGAGATCCAGCACTAGCCCAGTTGGCTGACGAGGGAAGGCCAGGAGCAGCCTGTGCTTGCGCTTGGCTGAGACGCTCTTGCTCCGCAAGGAGATGGGCACGGCGTGCCGCAGCGGCGACTTCCTCGCGTTGAGCAGCAGTTCGAGCCTCGGCTTCTTGGATCTCTTTGAGAGAGGGACCCTTGGGCAAGTCATTTGCCTCCTTGGCCCATGGTGCAACAGAAGTGGGTGCAGCGTCAACAGGTGTCTGAGTCTGGGAGCGGGACCCAGTGGCCAGAGACTCGGCGACATTTTGGCGGTTGCGTTGGGCGGTAGGTGCAGGGAGAGGCGATGCGGAGGGTGGGGGAGGGAATGGTTGGGGCATGGCATGGTCAACCTTGTTTCCCCACACCGATTCAGAAGTGCCATGACTGTGGTCATGTTCCTGCTGCTGGCGTTGAGCAGAAGCGGCCTTGTGAACTTGCTGAGAAAGAGTAAGAGGCTCAGCACCGGCAACCGAGTCGGTCAACTGTTGAGCTGCCTCCTCCATCTCGGCCGCAGCCTCTGCTTCAAGTTGCTGAGATGCAGCGGCAGGATGGGTAGGCAGGCCTTCGGCGGTGCGCATTCCCATCTCACCTTCCTGGGCCCGAAGGGCATGGAACTGACGAAGACGCTCCTCGCGAGCGTGCTGATCAAATGGATCATCCTCCTGAGCCTTATCAAAGTTTTCCTGCTCTTGCTGAAGCTGAGCACGATCCTGAAGCATTTGAGACACCTGCTGGGACTGCAGGAAGTTATCGGGCTGGCGGCCAGAGAACGAACCAGCATTGCCAAAGGCAAATGGATCCTGGCGGCTGACGTTCAGGCGGTCAAGTAGAGCGGGGAGTTGATCCTGGCTGCCGAAATCTGTTCCCAGCATTGCGGGGCCCACGTTCAAACCGCCCGGTCTCGGTGCAACACCGTCGAAGAATCCAGGGAGGCCTTGGGACTGCTGCTGCATGGGAGCCTGGATCGGGGATGGCTGGTAACCAACGGGTGAAGTGATGCTCGAGAAGCTAGGCTGGCTTTGAAGGCTGTGCGCGCTAGACTGGTGCTGCAGCGGAGGGTTCATGGAGGATGAGGGGGCACCAGGAGGTGCCATCTGCTTCATAATGGCCTGCTGCTGAGCCAAGTGCTCCTTCTGTCGGGCCATCAGGTACTGTTCTTCCTGCTTGCGTCGTTCAAGCGCATTCTGCTGCTCGGCTGTCAAGGTAGTGCCAAAGCTTGGGAAACTACCCGGGAAGGGAGGCTGAGCAGATCCAGCGGTCGTGTTAGTCCACTGGGCAACGGTCGGTTCTGGGCCATGAGGAAGGCCAATCTGGGGCACAAGGAACGGCTCGCGTGAGTTCCCAATACGCCTCACTAGCTGAGCTAGCGGCTCGAATTCGGTGTCCTCAAGCTTCTTGATTTGCAAGTCTGGGCTGAAGAAGCCCGCCTTGAACCAATCATGCATCTCAAGCCCAGTCCACGGGCCCTGAATATTGCCTTGCGGATCCCGGTAGATCCAACGCATCCTATCCGGCATAACCATGGTACGCTGCTGAGAAGCAGGGATTCCTGCACCAGGAGTTTGATTGGAAGGAATATCATGACCAGCCAGATTTGGAATGGAGCCAACGGCAGAGACGGGTGTTTGCGAAGCAGGCGTTGAACCAGGATGGCTTGCCTGACCCGCCTTGTCGCCTTGCGAGGGGTCGAGTCCATCGAAACCTACAGAGTCGGGCCTTCCTTGCTCATCCTGCATGGAAGAGAAGAGGGCGCCGAGTTTGCTTGATCGGCCGATGCTTCCAGTGCCAGTGATACCGGCGTGGGGGCTAAATAGACCGCCTCCACCAAGGGTTGACAAGCTAGGGGACTGAAGATCACCCATAGAGCCGAAGATGGGGTCGCCGAAACCACCAACAAACGCAGAACGCTCACGAGTGGGCGTGCCAACAGCAGCACCAGATGACCAAGTCGAGGCTCCGCCCAGGGAAGACAGACCACCCAGACCACCGAGACCAGAGAAAGTGCGGTTGGCATTAACGCTGGAGTTCTGGCTACGGTCCACACTGGGAAGGTCCATTCCCGAGCCAACTCGTCTCATCGAGCCGAAGGGGTTGGAGGGATCCCGAAGCCCGCTGATTCCGGGATGCTGGGCCGGCTGGATATCCGATCCGTCAGTGTCAACATCTTCGGATTCTATACGTTCGCCATGACGGTCACCATGCGGGCTCTGGTAAGGATTGGTGTTGGTTGGACTATTTGGCTCGTGGCCCTGGAGCAGGCTGGGAGTTGGGTTCCGCGAGTTTTCCTGGCTTTGCATCAACTCTCGGAATCCAGGAATGCTCGAGGTCATGCCGAATGCACCAAACCCGAGATCAGGTTGAGAGGGACCTTCGACATCCTGAGACCCGCCAAGAGCAGCGCTACCACTGCGAGGCTCGTCGAACGGATTAGTTCCGCTTCGGTTCACACGAGTCTTCACGGCATCTCCCCAAGGTGACTGCGAACGTCCATCACTGTCATTTTCAGCGAGACGTTCAAGGTTACCCATGGGCTTCTCCTTGGCAGAGCTGGCAATGTCTTCGGAGCTATCCTTGGACAGCAAACCTTTGAATCTACTCTCTCCGCGAAGACTTCCGTATCCCGGTTTCTTTTCGACCGTGGGAGTGCCAGAGCTGGACCCGGAACCAAGGGAGAAAGCTCCAAAGGCACCCATCGGAGAGAAATTAGCATTATGCGAGGCCGAGCCCCAGGGAGAGTTCGGTCCACTAACCCCCGCATTCATGGGATTAGTGGAGATGCGCTTCACAGAGCCAAAGGGAGAGGCAGGATCCTCCTTGCCATCCTTGGCCTTCTCATCCACCTTCGAGTTGGGTTCTCGGAAATCAGTTTTACGGCGCAACAGGGCCGGAGGAGGAGTAGAAGTGTTGGCCTCATCGCGGAAAAATCGGGAGTTGGAGCCGGTAGGAGACATGGGATTTCCAATCGATTCACCCGTTTCCCGGCGGCGGGGACCTGGGCGACCGGTGGTTGGGGAGGAGGTGGTGGTGTAGTTATTGATATGGCCCTGAGGATAGGAGATCGAAGACTTGCGACCTCCAGTTCCCGGGATGACGTTTTCCTTCGCGGCGTTTGTGGGAGGTGGCTTCAGAGGGGAGTTGACTGAAGCGGCGAACATCTATCGAGCATTTTTTAGCAAGAGCACTCATTCAGACCCGAAAGCACACAACACGAACCTCTCTCTCGTCCTCCGTCATGCCCGTGATTCCGAGGGGTTCGACTTGGCCGCCGTGATCCCAGCAAACCTCGGGCCCCGCAGAGTTGTTCTTGTGGTCATCCCGCTTCCCCCATGCTCCATTCACGGGAGCTGACACAGTGTGGGGATCCCAATCGGCCACGAAGTATTCCTCCACGTTCTTACTCAAGGTCCCCTCCTCCCGCTGCGATTTATACAGCTCTAGAAGTTGATCCTTGGAGTACCGGGCATCCCCATTCCGTGCAATGCTAGAAATATTTGAGCTCAGATGTGGAGGGATGTACGCGCCACCGGCCGTGAGTGTCGAGGCAGATACAGGCTGGCTACTTTCCCGGTGGTGAGAGGGAGTGGTAGCAACAGAAGGCCGGCGGAAGGTCTGCGTAGCTCCATTCATGCGGTTGCGGGACCTGGTGGGCATTGAAGGTTAGCATCGGATCTCTCGAGCTCAAAACATTGACGGTCACAGCAGCATCGAACAATTTTGGACCGAGTCTGCTAAACAATAGCTAGTGGACGGGTTCAGGGACGGTGAAACAGTGTCTGCATACCATTCTCCGCTAGTCGAACCGTCCCCCCTCCGATTGGGGTCCTGGGTGTTGCCAGCAGCGGCCGAAGCGAAACTCGATGGAAGTGGTGTAGGCATTGTTGTAAAGAGGCTTATCTGGTCGGATGTTGATCCCCCACGTATAAACCGATTCTGAGATAGTTGTCGCGAAACCTGTGGCGGGCTTGCAAGAGAATGTGTGATGCGAACGGATAGGTTGCAAGACACGTTGGGAAAATTGATGTAGAGTTGAGGGATGACAGCTAGGAGCTAGTCAATCGAAGAAGTGGAGAGCTGTAAGAGAGGTAATGCAGAGATGCGAGCGCCAGACTAACAAGGTCGAGAAAGAGAGAGATCGAGTTTCGATTTCGCTTGGGAAGTTTCCTGGAGCAAAAATGATTAAGCGGTGGCCGTGGCAATACGCGTGCCTTTTTGTAAATACACGGTATGGGCTTGTTGGTGATCGCGCGATTTTCCGTCCAAGAGTGGTGATTGCAGCGTATTGATAGAACAATAATTACATACCGCCAAGAGTAGGTATCCGATACACGCACAACACTTTGTCTTCATACTCTGCCCAATGTACCTTGTACCGGCCATTGTGCCCAATCCTGGGTAGCGAACGGAAAAAGGCACTATATTGAACGAGAGAATCAAGACTCAAAATAACCAAAGTGCCATTCTAAGCCTACTTTCTACTTTTCCCCTAACCAAGAAGACTCTAGATAGCAAGCACATATGCAGTTAGGTGGCTTGACGCAAACAGAAAGATGTGGAAATAATAGAACAGACATGTATTCCCCACAAAATCCACGCTGCTCTTTTGATTGGGAGTTCAGCTACCTTTCAAGCAATTGACAGTTAAGGGATGGGTTTGATGCGTTGTCTAAGAATACAAAGACCGTCTAGTTGGTCCACCAAAGGCAATAGAGGGGGGTGAAATGCATCCCATGCTATCCCTTTTTTACCCAATCTCTGCAATGCTGTGCGAACACGCTCTGTCTTAAGATCATTCAACGGCCTTTAAAAACTTCTTAAGATTCGGGCTGGAATCCGGTTGGATTAAGAATCCCATTATCCGTTGTGCTTGTCAATAGGGCTAGATCAATGTGCCCCTCTTAACTCTTTCATGCATCATTCTGCACCAGACAATGGTTTCTGAAATTTGCTCGCTCTAAGAGTAACACAGAGACCGAAACGGCGCAATGAATGTCGTGGCCCAGATTGATATGATGGGCTCAGTCTTGGAGCTTCACTGATGGTATCAAGACTCTATAAAATGGGCCTCCCTCTCTCCGGCAATTCCCTCTTTTACATTTCTTGCACTTCAAGACAACCCCAAGTCAGATTCTAGGAACTATAAGCTTTCTTGCACAACAAAGGTCATCATCTCTCTTGTGTCTTCTGGGATCCACCAGCTCACCACCGTTGATCAAAGAAGATGAGGCGGTCCAGATTCACCGGCCGATCCAAATCCAACAAGACAGAATTTGGCTGGTACTTCGCTGGCGAGCCAATGGACAAAAGACACTCTCGAAGCGGGCGAATCAGGCTAGTTCGGTACGGACCTGAGATGGAAACTTGTGCCCATAGTCGATGCCCGTCGCCATCTCCTATTCCAGAAAAGGCATCTTGCCTCCGCGGCAATAGATGCGAGGTTTATCCCTACGGGGTACGCTCCTCATCCCCAAGCAACACTGACTCCTCTGGTTGTGAGGCAGCTAGGAGGTACTGCGGACGATGCCATGGCATCAGGCGCGAGCCTGAGTCCCCTTCACAGGTGGAAAAAGTCACCTGCCCCTGCAACAATCGGTGTGAATGTCGGTCGCGTGAAATGCGTCCGGTCACGCCAAGCAGCAGTGAATCTTCTAGCTCTGAAACAGCCACAAAACGCTATAGTAGCCGTCACTCAACAAGACGCGACCGGCACTCCCACGACGCACATCCCACCACGCCGAACAGCAGTGATTTTTCAGACTACGAACCACTCAGAAGACGCCAAAGCGGCCACCGCACCGGAAAGCGCGAACCAGAACACCATCTGCCGGTGGAGATATGTCAATGTGAGACCCATACACCCCCTCCCAGTACACCCACCATTCCAGGCCAGAGATACCACTCCGCCCGTGCATCATTTACGACAGCACCACGCTCCGATCCGATGGTCCACCACCACTGTCGCAAGGCGTCTTATTGCGAACTCCACCCGGAGCTCTGCCGGGCTGGGATGCCGGCGCCTTCGCCAGTGCCGAGATCGATACCAAGTCCGGCCCGCTCTCCCCGATTGAGTGAGAAGTCCCGTCCCAGCTCTCGAGTCACATCAGAGCCGACGTCCACTTGCAGGCGGCCTGCTTCTCCTCCCAAGCAGGCACCCCCTACGCCAGTGTCTTCACCCAGGCCTACATCTCTCAGGCCCGATGTCCTATATTGTAGTTGTTGCTATATGGGTGGGTACCATGCTGATGACACTGCTTCCGAGACTTCTATTCAGGCCAGGCCTGATAATGATAGGGATGTGGATGAGAGACGTTGTGCTTTTCATCACCGTTGTCATCCGAGGTTTGAGCGTGGGTTTGGCTGGGTTTGTGGGAGGAAGTGAACATACTTGTGTTGGTTCGGTGGTTAATTTTGGATTTTTAAGAGAAGCAACGGTTCATGCTTTTTTTTTCCCCCTGCTACTTTCTCTTGTTCTGTCTAGAAAACCTCCATTTTCTTCTTTTTCATTTGTCTCACTTCCGGCCTTGGAGGTATCGAGTCGCTTGTCTCATTCTAGCTTAATTAAAATATTTCAAACGGTATGATCAAAATTTATAAAACTCCCAAATCCAATGTTTCTTTTTTTTTAATATCACGAGGTGGATCAAGCTCATCATGCTACGTAGTCGACAACTTCACTGACCTGGTCTATTTTATTATCGCATACAGAACGCTTCTGGTAGTGCATAGACATCATATCCTATCCTTGAAGACAGCAGTGTCTCACTTGGTCTTGGTTCTCTTGGAAGTGTACTTGCTCTTAGGAGAGGTGTTCCATCTCACTCTCCTACCACGTGATCACCTGAGTCAAGGGTGGTCCCGAACGAATGGTAGGGCCTAATAGATATCCCATTGCGATGATAGATAGACGTTCTGTTTGTGCTAATGATGGTTTTGGCCGAGCGGGTAAAGAGTCTTTTGTAATCCATCAGAAGTAACTAGCGGCCTTCCTGTCCTGTTTCTCAACGGGTGAGGATATACTTCCATTTATCCCATTTATCCCATTTATCTAGAGTAAGAATCATCATGATCGAGACTATGTTCCCGAAGTCTAGGGATATATATATATATCATATACATATATATATTTTGGTACCAAGTGTCATGAACAGGTCAGATGGCGCCCTAAGGTGGAATACCCTGGTCCAACATTGAAATCTCAGTGCTTTCAATTCTTGAGACTCTAACCCTTCATCTGATTATATAGCAGCGTACTCCTTGAATGTTCGGTTATGTAGTAAGAAAAGTAGAGCTGTAAGAGCCACTTTAAAAGGTTGAATGCGGAGATCTGATAATTTGTTATTACTTCATCTCCATAAATCCGACAAGAAGTGTTTACACAGTCCGGTAGTCAATGGGATGAAAGTGGAAAGAAGAAAAGGATTGAATGTTTGGACTATCAAATGTTCAACGTGTAGACTTGGATATCCGGTCGGGTAATCAAGAATTCAATCTTGAAAGCCTCGGCTATCGATCAGCAGTTGAGCCATCCCCGCACGAGCTGAATTTCCAGGAGTACATCGTCAATTTAATTTTTTGACATCGTCACATCTTTCTCTATCAAATTCAAGATGTCCAAAGCAATTTACATATCACCAATTGACGGCAAGCCCGGCAAGCCAGGCCAAGTCTACTATCCGCTCTCCCTCCGTACCATCCCCAAGCCTTCCCCGCAAGGGGGTGAGCTACTGGTGAAACTGAGTGCCGCGGCGCTTAACCACCGTGATCTCTTCATCCGCCAACACCTCTACCCCGGCGTGACCTTCGAGGTGCCCCTTCTTGCGGATGGAGTTGGTACCGTTGTCGGAACTGGCCTGAACGTCCCTAGCCCAGAAAAATGGCGAGGCAGGCGGGTGATCTTGAACCCCGGTGCTGGTTGGACGGACTCGCCCGATGGACCAGAGGAGGCTACTGGACTCCGGATAATGGGCGGCACGAAGGTTTATGATAAGGGGACTTTGCAGGAGTATATTACCATCGAGTATTCGGAGGTTGAGGAGGCACCTGAGCATCTTTCTGATGCCGAGGCTGCGGCTCTGCCTCTGACGGGCCTGACGGGCTGGAGAGCTTTGATTTCCAAGGCCGGTGAGAGGAACTCTGGAGGTGGTGCTGCCGTCTTGGTTACAGGCATTGGTGGTGGTGTGGCTCTGATGGTGCTGCAGTTTGCTGTTGCCAGAGGTGCGCATGTGTTGGTGACGAGCTCGAGCCAGGAGAAGATTCAGAAGGCCGTTAAACTAGGTGCTGCCGGTGGTGTTAGCTATAAGGAAGACGGTTGGGAAAAGACGCTGTTGGGTATGCTCCCAGCCGGGAAGAAGAACTTTGATGCCATCATTGATGGTGCCGGTGGTGATTCTGTTGAGAAATCCGTCCAGTTGCTTAAGGTGAGCACGGCAACGAAACATTTATTCCATCACGGATGAACGTACTTACATTTTTAGACCGGCGGTGTTCTCTCTGTCTATGGAATGACTGTGTCTCCTAAGATGCCATTTACGATGTCTGCTGTCCTCAAGAACATCGACGTCCGCGGTTCCACGATGGGCTCCCGAAAGGAGTTCAAGGAGATGATTGAGTTCGTCAATGCGAAGAAAATCCGCCCTGTGGTGTCTCGAGTTCTGCAAACTGGGCTGGATGACATGTCCGCAATTGACGGGCTGTTCGAAGACATGAAAAAGGGCACGCAATTCGGCAAATTGGTGATCGAGTTCGGCGGGTCGGGCAGTAAGCTGTGATAATTCTCTTACTACGATTCCCACGAAGTTATGATATCCATATGGCTGTCTTTTTAAACCTATGACACATATCAATTGAGAGATTTTGTAGCAACTACGAGTGTTCTTCGTACCTTCTCCCGGCCGCCTCACTTTGTAGATCACCATCACTGCATCACAACTCAGTTGCATCTTCAACATGCCATTGCCACTTTTATCTTTCATCCTCTCTTACTAGAAACTCAGACGAGGAACTAACTCTCGAACCCGCTCATTGTATCATAAAGTGTTTCATTCCTTTCCGATTCCACCCCCATCATGAACTCCAAGAGGGACCGCGTCTCCACCCAACGACTCTCTCGCTCCATTTCTCGCGGAAATGGCCCTGTACCTCATGTGTCGGACTCCCGACGTGTCCTAGAAGATTCGTGGGTCGAAAGTAGTTTTCAGGTATTGCCGCATCAGAGAGACATCGATCCTCTAAACCGCTCTGTTGATGCTAACGGTCAATGCAGTCCGTTGACGCCACTCATTATGCTCTGCAAACCCTCAACAAGCACATCGAACGAAGACTCGCCAAACTACAAGCTAATACAGTCCGCCTGAAGCGTGAACTATGGCTACTCCAGCGACACATCAAAGAATTTCGCCATCCTCTTTTCGAGAACTGGGAAGCCGACCTACTCACACGTCTTATTGAGGTTGCTCACGCCCATCAGCACAAGAAGCTCCCGGGCGGCGTCGTGATTGGAGAGTCCTCCTTTGCCGAACGAGAATCTCTCAACCATGCATACAGCATCGCGGCGAAGGGAATCCGCATGCCGACTCTTCGTAAGCTTGGTCTATCGGAGAAGTATCATCAGGCTCTGCAGCGGTATTCAGAGGTGAGTTCTCACCGTGGTCTTGATAGAACGTACCTAGGTCTAGTCACGTACTTATGTGGATCAGGTCGCTCCTTATCGAAGCCCCAATCCCTTCCAAACCGAATTTGCATTCGCCAAATGGCTGGTCGAGGTGCGGGAAGATAGACCGGAGCTGTATTGTTTTTGGTCCAAGCTGTTCCCCGTCTGCTACGACCGCACCGTCCAAGAGAGCGCCTCCATTTTCTAGAGGATCCCCGACAACCACCTCATCATGCTGGCCCGATCAGGGTTCGTTTTCTCAAAAGAGGTTAAGAACGCAAAAAGCGCTTCGTGGTGTAGAGATCTTTCTATTTCTAGAAGTTTGTGGGTCATTGCGTTTTGTGCCGACCTTTTTCTGCCCCGTGCTGTTGTGATCATTGTGTCTCATTCCAGCTCTCCACATAGAACAAGTCTATTCTTATCAAAATGTACGTTTTCAGTCATATTCTCCCGCATGGCATGACTTGAAGAAATCGCCCTAATCGTTCGAGGAACTAGTAGATGATGTCTTAGCTTTCTTCAATGATCGACGGCGTACATATGACCTGTCGAGTAACAGACTACCACCGTTGCATCCAATCCTAATCCCTATATAACCACAGCTAGTATTCACCAGTTTCCTCTAATCCACAAGCCCTACGGTCTAAATGTCAAACACGCTAAATCCTCTGGGTGTGGGCACTGTGTTCCGTCATTCTATTCCAAAACCTGAACAATCCAACGGTCGAAAAATAAACAATAACCAATATGCAACAGACCCCACGTCCGCGATCTCGAAAACCCTATTATGGCAATCGTCCCGCATCCTGCATGACGCAGTTGGTGTCAAATGCAGTCATCAGCAGCACAATAATACTCCCGCTCGCTAATAATAGCTCGATTTTTTTTACGGCGTGCACCGCTCCGTCTACTAAGCTCGATGCTAAATGTCCAAGTGCGAACTAAAAAAAAAAAAGTAGAGACAGCCCCAAGCGGTATGTATATGCTTACACTCCGAACTCTCCCTCCGCCCTAACTCCCTACACCCTAGGATCATCTACGGTTGTTCTTGGCGAGGGAACGCTCCCAGTCGCAACTTGCTCAACCTCGTGGACACCTCGGAGATCGCTTTTCAGGGTCTACCAACCTCCGATGTACGCCGTAGGCCTCGGATGTGTTCCGAAGGGTCCTGTGGTTTTGGTGGGGGATCGGACTTTTCGGATTTTCTTGAGCCGTCTTCTAACCTCACTCAGCTTAGTCTTGTCTGTTGTGCCGACATTATTCCGGTCACTGCTACTGTGCCATTCAGATCATGTTCTCCATTTTTCATAACTATGGAGCATGTTGCATATGAATACGGAGTACGAAGGACGGAGTCCCACGTTTATTTTAACTGATTATGGATGCTTTGTTCGACAAATCACTATTCATAGTTTTCGTCCCTCTTTTTTTTCACTTTTGCTCCTTTTGTGGACTCCGTGTGGATACACACGTGGAAGTTGATGGAGCGATGAAGGACCAGGTCTTACTCCGTCTGTTAAATTATATTCAGAAATCGACCTGTACGATGTAACTAGTCTATTGTACATATTATATGGAGTTTCTTGGATGGTCAGCAGTATAGATTAACCTTAAGAAAGGTTAATGATTCGGCGCAGGGCGTTTTGCTCCGTACAACAGACACCCGAAAAAAGTTGCTGCCTACCTTGGCATTTGCGGGACGTAAATTTTTTTTTTTTAATTGATAATAATAATGTACATAACCTTGGGACAGTCCACGTTTTTCTTCAAGTGGAGAACGCATGGAAAAAAGTGGAAAGGAATGGATAAAACCCATCAGTAGACCGTGCACTTTACTCAAGTCAGAACTCAACTGTCTAGTTAGCGTCGGATCCGACACCAGATATGGGGTAGCTTCTAACAATTGACCAAAGAGAAGCGGTAGACGAGGGTTGTTAGTGAACTCGATTCGGGATGGTTGGAACCTGCGAAAGTGCTGCCACGACTGGCTGCTAAATGCCAAAAAGTCGGAGGGAAATGGGGCGCGGGATCCCGGGATTCAGACTCAACTTATGCTCTGATTGGTAGGACCTTTTTTTTTTGCTGGTCCACTTAACGGAGATATATTTACCGTATGATGTACTCCGTACTTTGTTTAGCATAGAGTATACACACAATATACTTCGTAGCGCTTTCAAGGTTCTGTTTCTTCGTATTTAGAGTTTGAGTAAAACGATCAAGATAACCGTGGAAAGTGAAGCATATGGAACGTGGCAAATAGAGTTTCCTAGGTTCATATAGGAGTGACAGGTTTGGTAGAGTCGATCGAGGGTTTCATCAACCTGAAACGGTACTTCGACTTTGGTTAAGATCCATGACTGGATTTGGAGAATTGACTTGATCAATTTTTTTTTACTGATCGATTGACTGGCTTGGAGCGCAGTGACATTTTCACATGTTTTGGTTTTATTTTCTCATCAGTGGTGTGGTGATATATCCGCGCATTGATCTGCCACCAAGATATATATTTACGTCTCGCACAACTCGCACCTGCCTTTTCCAATTTTTTTTTTAAAAAAAAAACAGAAAGAAGTCTCAATTAACTTAGGGGTAAATTGATGTAGTATTATTTCCTGTAGACAAATACGGCGGACAATATTGTTGATACCAAATAGTGATACGGAGGAATGTGACCTCCAATATCCATCCGATCCCAGATTCCGCCCAAGCTTGTAATCCGAACTGGATCGCCGTGGGGATCTGAGTCGTAGCCCCTGATCTGAGTCGTAACCCCTGACTCGTATCTAGCACCCAACGAGCTATGTTGTACACGCTACCAGACAAAACACCACGCTCTTCAGACAGCTCAATAAAAAAAAAGAAAACCGCCCCAAATAGAGGGATAGTCTCGCCTAAATTTCCTTGATGTGGGGGGGGGGGGGGGAAGAGGACAAAAAAAGAAAAGCGAAACTCAAACAGGGGATTCAAACCCACGCCTCAGCTAAGATCTACACTCCATGCGCCCCGAGATAGACATGGGGGGTTTTTTTTGTTGTTAGCTATTCACAGACGGAGCGTGAAAGCCATGGAGAATGATCTAAATGGGTACAAGGTCAACAGGACTGACGCAATTTCTGGCCATGCTAAAGACATTCTGCAACAAAGAGGGAAGTTGATGAGACTAGCTTGGCAATCCTTCCATTTCTTCTCTCCACACTCAAACATACGAGTTGGTTCGATTCCGATGCTGCGGGAGGAAGCATCGGTGATCCAGATGGAGATGCCTCCTACCCTGAGCGCACAAATGTGACCATTGCAAATCCCGAGCTGCAAAGTGATACGGATTCCCTCCTGTCAGTTTGCGCAAGTCCCTGCGATGATCGTGCTTCTTCTTGTCCACCGGTATTTCATTGTCATCACACTATCAAGGTCACTACCGGAGAACAAGGATAGTGCAGGCAAATACTGGCGACAGTACTCCGTAATAGCGGTACTAACCGGAGGCGGAGTTTGTCAACTTTTAGCTCCGGCGCTGAAACCGTCAACCTCATTAATCTATAGTGGAATGGTCGTCAAACGCCAAGGATGGACGTGTGGAAGTGTGTATCGTCGGGGAAGGAGCGAAACCCTATTACCGTTCGTGTCCTGTTTATTCCCCAGAAACCCGGGCGTTGTGTACAACATACGTTGTAAGGTTGTATAACCTTTCCGTATGCTGTATGTACTCTGTACGGAGTGTGGAGACTGACCATTTTCCCACTCCGTCCTCTGGAGGGGTCAAGGAAGGTTAGAGCCAGCCCCGAGGGTTCCCACCGTTGTATAATTCTCTGCTTGTGAGTGGCTATCGAGGGGGGGGAGCTAAAAAAGAGGATTGACACTTTCCTGTTCCATGGAAGGGATTTTGACGAATGAGGCTGCCCTGTAGGAGATGATCTTCGTTGCAGGTGGGGAGGGGGGAGGGGGGCGAACAAAAAGAAGGTCATAGAAGATGAAGCGTGATTCCCCTCTATCGTCCAGCTTCAGGTGCGATACTCCGTATATGAAGCTAACATCAAAAGCCGGATATCTTCACTCCACCGAGGATAGAAGATACCCGGCATTGATCTCTCCCCAGAACAGACAGAGATGTCCGTTTGTAAGCGAGAACAACATAGTCGAACCACCTCCCAGGGACCCAAAGCGGGTCCACGTCACATTCCTTCCTGTGATGGTGCAGTCAAGACCCTCCTGTGAACAAGGGTAAAGTTGGTGATCTTCCCCATCAACAATTCTGGTTGCATCAAATCAAGGCTCGTTGCCGTTTGCCTTCCCCTTCGCGAACAAACCCGGGAGGAGCTGAAATACAAAATGTAAGGGTGGTGAACCCAAGCCATGGCCTAAAAGAGAAAGCCGCCAGTGTCTCTGACGATGTTTCACTCCGAGGGTTTATTTCCCCCATGATCCGCGCACCAATCCCATTAATGCAGCAAGGTCTACACTTCGCCCTGACATCTCATTCTCCTTGGATTTCTCCCTCGAAGGGATTGACGGGAACGAAGATCCTTACCCCAATCATTCAATAATCCTCCTCAACCCGTGCTCGGTATGCACTGTTTCCCCCACACGCAAGACAGGCACAGACATACCGGCACGAGTGGCGAGATCACGCACATATTATTTTGACGGATACAAAGTAGACGCGCGCAGACAAATAGTGTGCTTGTACCTGCATAGTTCAACTATTATATGTGGTGGACTTCAAAAAGGTAAGGTTGAGTAGAAGCTAACCTCTAACCCTTTACTCCGGACCCAAGGTTGAAGATGCGATGCAAATGGTTCGGGCGTAAATGGCCTCAAAAATTAAATTAATTAACCTTTGATGGGCGCGGGGGGTTTTGCCAATAGACAGAAAGGTACGGAGTAAACAATTAACAGACACAGAGCCCAAAGCCTTAGTGGATGCTCAACCGGTCAATAATATCATACTGGATCCGGATGGAGCCCTCATCTGCCAATAGGATTGTCAATCACAATTTTGACGGCTCCAAACAAGGTTACAGGGCCCCTGGGGGGAGGGTGGGCATAGTGATCCGCTTTTTCTTTTCTTTTCTTTCTTTTTTCTTAAGCTTCCAAGGATGTGGATGGTCTGACGGAATTGATATTATCCGCTGCTTGAAATTATAGTCAGATGGGGTTGATCAATTGGTATTCAAGCTTTACTGTTAGGCACTGTTTGATTTTTGGCAATGT